AAAACATCGAAAGTGATGTTTTGATACACTGCCTTGTCTCAGCCATCATTCCTTATTCGTAAACTATAAACGTGTCATGTCTCATATGTGCTGAACGAAACTGTATTAATATTTAATTGTATAAGCTTTAGAAAAACGAGTTCTTTAAAGTTTAAATACTTATTGAAACAAAATATTCGTAATGTTATACGAATAAACATACGCCTTGATATTTTTTTATAACGCTGCAATGTACAAAATATTGTTAATCAATTGATAATAGCACTGAAGATCAAACAGCGTGTTAATAATTTTAATTCCATATCAAATTATAATTTATTTGTATKTACAAAATTAAACAATGAAGTATGAACGTTCTTTTTTTTAAGCTTTGCAGACAATATAACTATACTTCCAATTTTGTGACCATGAAATAGTGTTCTAGAACATATTAATTATATTACCTAGTAATTATATTTTCTACGTGACCTACTCAATAACTAATAACTAATAAGGCTATTAAAATACATAATGTAATATGTTCAATGGCTTACTCAATCTGTTATTAAATTTATAGGGCTAACTGATTAGTTTGTGTCTAATGTACAATACTATGTAAAAAGTAAAAATTATTGTAAATGCCACTATGTCAATGCCCCGTAGCCAGTTTTTTTTTTTTTGGGGGGGGAGGCCTGAGAAGCACTACATTTTTTTCTCGAGCTAATTTGAAGAAAACCATTTTAATATTTTACTAAGGGACATCAACAAGGTCGCTATCAAGTAATAGAAACATGTCAATAACTAACGTTATGTTTTGGCAAGRCTGTAAAACACCTCACGCCCTAACAATGATATTTTTTGGCCTAGTAAATTCTAAGAGCGTCCTTGAAGGACATAAGACTTAAAATGATTTGTCGTTAAATAATGTGTTAATAATAATTCATAAATTCATAATTATATTATACAGGACTTACTACCACATATCGGAAATTCACTATCCCATTTTCCTCCGACACAGGTCATCGTCTCGTTGCCATTTACCAGAACATACGGCTGAAAACAGRTTATTTTGGCCACAGTTACACCGTGTACTAATAGTAATYTCGCCTGGCCATTTTTGAGTCGTAAATGACATTGATGTTTAGGAAGTACGGAATCGCATTCAAACACTAGAAATACAAAAAAAAATCTCAGGCTTTGTTCACAATAGATTGTTCAATTTTCATAAAAATAATACTCCCTGAAGAAGCTGTACACTATAAGTGTATTCACAAGCGCAAATCGGAGAGTGCTTGRGGACTTAACTCCCCCCTCCCCCCAACAAAAAAATAAACAGTTATATAGTTGTTTGGGATCGAACCACCCCACTCACATTTATTTAAAAATGTTAGCCCCTTGACATTTTAAGGCATCATTTCCAACTATGTATACATATTACATATACTAACAAGTAATCAACCATTTTTGACATTCATTGAATTGAGTAGAAATATAACTACAGCTAATAGCTTTGAAAGAATATTGAGGCATTTAAGTGTTATACCAAAACCACAAATTAAGAAAGGTAAAAATAATGGTAGAATATACACATTTGATATATGTCTTTGCCCATATAGGTACAATAAACATAGATGTTTTACATCTTACACATCTATGGTCTTACACACATATAAATATAGAATATATTTAATAAGAACCTGTTTTCCATATTTAAATCATTGTGATTACTAGGGCGTGGATTTGTATGAAATATTCAAATATATACATATATTTTTTGAATATGTACCTATTAAAAATATTAAATATTAAAAAAAAAAATATAGATACTAAATTATTAGATTGCATAAATGATATTGTGATATTATAAGAATTCTTATTAACCTTATCATATTTAATACAACAATAA